GTTTGCTCTTGTGACAGTTTCTTTGGCTGTGCAGAAGCTTTTTAATTTGATCAGGTCCCATTTATTTGTTTTGGTTGTTGCTGTGATTGCCTTTCGGGTTTTCTTTTTAAACATGATAGAACCAACTGCCTGCCTTAAATTCCTTCTATTTTAAAGATTTAATGTGATTTCTGTTTTCCTGCAGGAACAGTAACTAGAATTAAAGTCAATCCATGAGATTTGACTTGTGGAAGCTAAGAGAAAAGAGATCTCTTCCTGTTAGATCGTAAGGCCACAGGATACGGGATGCCAATAGCAAATTTCCAGCCACCTAAACCTAGTTTGAGCATGACATCAAACATAGAAGCACACAGAGCCAGGAAATATAGAGAGAAAAAGAATCCTGACACATTCTTAGAACTTCTTGCTCTAACTAGACCGAAAGTTAGCATTATCATATATTTTATGCTCCAAACCAGGACACTTGAAAGTAAAAGGGGCTGCTGGTAAAACTTAAGTCAGGGTAGCAGGTGCAAATTGGGACTGGCCCAAACAAACTATAACATACAGTCATCCTACCTAAAACCAACTTGGTCCTTGGACTTTACGTTAATTAACCCATTGATTTCTATCACTAAACTAAAAGATTGCTGACCGGTGCATAACATAAAGGTATAAATCAAAGAAATTTTTTCCTAGTGGTAGGATTTCAGAGCAAGTAGGGGAATATCCACATCTACCTAAATTAGTCTCCACAATTGCATGTGGAGCTTGCACAGTTACGAAACAACTGTTTCAAGAACATTATATGGAATTTTAGTTGCTTTACCCCAAGAGTGCTGAGAAAAAGTGCAAAGAAAGCAACTGTAATCACCAAGAGAAGCACATACCCATACCACAAACACATACCCTCAGGCTAAATATAGTTCTTTGGTGATTTTTTTTCTTTTTAAGGACTCATTAAGGAAGGAGTATTTTTTTCACATTTAAAGTGGCCCTTACTTAAGGTTTATTTTCATCTGAATACAAATTTTGAGTCAACTACATCTTGTAATATTCCCTGTGTCCAGCCTCTGTATAGGTTCAGCACTATACCACCACTAAGAACTGCTTTTCTTCTGGATTCTCTTCCCTTTACTTTTTTCTGTTCTTCTGTAAGGTCTCACTTACACTACAGATTACATAGGCTCTTGTTGGCTTGCCTCTGAACCCAACAGTCACTTATAACTCTTTCTATAAAAATACAACCTTTAGGGAGTGGTGAGAAGGGTGTGCCAAGCCCACATGACATTTTTTAATCTCTTAGTTCAGTGTAGTCACAGCAGCTGCCTAGTTTATGGCAAAACAGAAAACAGCAATTTAATCCAGTGGGAATGCTTCCACCCCAACTAACATGACTCACTGCACATTTCTTACAGAGCCAATTCCTCTGATCACAAAACATGCTTAAAAAAAAAAAAAAGAAAAGAAAAAAGAAAAATATCCCTTTCCAGAGGTTAAACTGATGCCAAATTCTTCACTGGAAATAAAAGCACAAACACATACAACTTCAAAATATTCACACTCTGGGAGGCTGAGGCGGGTGGATCGTTTGAGCTCAGGTGTTTGAGATCAGCCTGAGCAAGAGCGAGACCTCCGTCTCTACTAAAAATAGAAATTAGCTGGACAACTAAAAATACATAGAAAAAATTAACCAGGCATGGTGGC